TTAGAAACTGCGGATATTATCCTGTCAAAAGCCAAATCCGCATCTGCGGATATCCGAGTGTTATCCGATCCGCTAGGAGCCCTAGATTCCAGCCAACATACCACCCACTCCCTCCTTTCACTTCTCATCCTCATCAAGAGGCTGCTGGTGGCTTCCCTGCAAGCACCAAAGGAATTCAGGCAACAAGCTTCCTATGAGCATCAAGACTTCAGTGGCAAGGGTTCTGAAAAGTCATTGAAACAGTACTTGGCCCAGAAAGCACTCAAGGAGGTGGATCAAGAGATGATGTTGTTAGCAAGCAACAAAATACTGAAAGCCGGTGAACATACAGCACTTACGTGGGCAAAAGTGATTGGCTTTTCCTTCGCACAAATCCAAGGGAGAGTGAGGGAAAAGGCCCCACTACTCTGGACAATTCTCACAATAAGCACAATTGGATCAAATGTGTCTCGCTTGGAAAAGGCCTGTGAAGATGCCATTGAGGGAGCAAGAGGCTGTGGAGGCAAGAATAGATGGGACCCATGGCTGGTTTGTGCCTTGGGCAACACACTCATGTACCAGATCTGATCTTTGGTTGGTCAGGGATGTACCGTATCCATTCTCATCCTGGCCTACTTCCATTACGTCAAAGCAAACATGTTACAAACTGTGCTTGGGAATGTACTTTTCACCACCAATGTTCACCGGTCTCTCCATTCAATTCTTGGGCATGTGGGCCTTGTCACTGCATACAGCAACACCCTTGAACAGCTGCATAGTCTGGGCCAAGATAAGACAGCGATGCTGAAAGCCCTCGGCTGCGCACTTGTGGCAGGAAAAATTCGAATTCATCTTGTCTATGATACATAAATCAATATCACCGAGCTTGGAGAGCAAATCTTACCAATCGGAACAAGCTCGAAAGTGGAACAGCTGCCACTGTGATTGTACAATGCAAAGTTGATGGATTGAAGGATGCATTTGATGGACCAGAGTATGAGTGCCACAAGTCAGAGTCAAGCAACAAATCTATCACCTTCAAGAGTCTCAAGGCCGATCTGGAAATCACTCCACCCCAAAGGTGTTGCCATTGCAAATATCCTGCGGATTTTCCTCAAGTTTATACCTCACCTTCAAAAGATGTCGATAATCTCCAATATGTGAAATATGTGAAGTGTCTGTCATATCCTGGATCTTCCACCTCCCTCCACCCTATTCCTATATGACTCCTATGACCTCCACCAGCCCTCCCAATCTCTCTCTGCTGCCTCTGGTCAATGCCAACGGCCCTAGGACTACCTCCTCCTTCGACTCTCTCCCACTCTGCCTCCCATCTACATCTGCATCACCTCCGGACCTCCACTACCACACCTCCACCTCCTCGGACACCTTGTTCAAAGGAGATGGACCTGCTTGTTGTTGATAAACCTCAACTTGCCTATCCACCCTCCTTCTTACTTCCGGTCTCCACACCTCTGGTACCTCCCCTTACCTCTGGTCTTGATAATCTTTCATTTGATATTTTCTACAACCCCAATCTTCCAGACTACAACTTCCAGGCTCCGGACCTTTCCAGACGTCTTCCTCTGTAGTCCCCTGCTTATTCTTAGATGGTTCCAGGTCTTGCCATTCAGTTGGCTTTCAATTCTCCCACTCCACAAACCTCAGATGTAATTCGGGCTTTTCGGCTATTCCTTATTTGTCCTGTGGATTCTTTCTATTTACTTCTCCTTCCCCTTGGTAACCTTTGTCTACCTTCGGATCCAAATTGTTCTGATATATGTACACACATCAGCAAACCTGGATGCGGAGGCCTGAGAGCTCATAGAGCTACTGTACTAACATGACCAACAACCTGTCACGCATCACGCTGGCCTCGAGGTCCGGCTCAAATCAAGGGTTTGTCACGCGTCACGCTGGGAAAAAGGTTGAGTTAGTTGTGTCATGCTGTAAACCTGGTTTCAGGGTGGCTGTGCAAACTGTAATTCAAATTTCCCTTTTTCGGAAGTAAATACATTCAAAAAATGGCCATTTCCTTGTCCAAATGGCGCACCTGTCTGGCCCGCTTTCTGCAGCCAAAGTCACACTTCTGTGGGCTTGAGGGGGGTATCCTCAGCACAGGTTGATGCAACTTGTAAGGTGCCATTGCAGCCTAATCAGCCAGGATCCAGGCCCAATAGGCCTACTATGGGTAAAAACTACCTCTAGGTAGGCTTAGCAAGGTGGCTTGGGATATTATTTCTGTATGAAATAGGTTCATTTGTGCAAGAACAAATTTGTTGTGCAAGCGCAAAACCATCCATATGTGATATCCAGGTGCAGGAAATTTTTCAGAAAGGTGCTCTAAGCACATTTTCAGATTCTTTTGCATTTAGTTACTTATTATGGCAATATCCGATAGTATTGCATTCCTTTTATGGTAAGTTTGCCGGTTGGGTGTCACGCATCAACATGAGCTGCTGGTTCAGTACTTTTTGTCATGCTCCGGATGCAACTGGTAGTTGGTCGTGTGAGTACAGTATATTTGCACACATGGGACTATTATCTATATGAGCTCCCTGAGTGTTTAATTTATCCGATATCAAAATTAAAATTTTAGAGCATTGACTCTGGCATCATGTGATGAGTCACAGCCAAGTCCCTACCATGCAGGAAACTGAACAAACTGAGCTTAACTTTCAGCCCCCAATGCGGCACTACACACCAAGGGTATATAGCCAAATTAATATATAGACCAAATTTAGGGATATACATATACAGTTAATCTGAAATTAATGTGGGAAAATGAGTGGAGAAATGGGGGGGAAAATGAGGGGAAATTTGAGGGGGGGAATGGGGGGAAATTGAGGAGGGAATTGGGGGGGGAATGAGGGGGGAATGAGGGGAAATTTGAAGGGGAAATTTGGAGGGGAAAATGGGGGAAATTTGAGGAGGGAATTGAGGGGAAAATTGAGGGGGGGATGGGGGGGGGGGGGAAATGAGGGGGAAATTTGAAGGGGGAAATTGGGAGAGGAGAATGGGGGGGGAATGAGGGGAAAATCGAAGGGGGGGATGAGGGGGAAATTGCGGAGGGAATTGGGGGGGAAATTGAGGGGGGGGGGATGAAGGGGAAAATGGGAGGAAAATGAGGGGGAACTGGGGGGTTTCTAAAAAGTCAGGGAAAATTAAGGAAAATTCAGAAAATGGGGGACTTTCTAAAAATGGAGAATGTCCAAAAAATCAGAAAATTTGGGATAAGTTAGGGAGAGATATTTCAGGAAATTAGAAATAATTGGAAAAGAAATTAGATCACTTTTTTGATAATTCAATGTGTATTGGAAAGTGCCAAAGTGGGGCAATGTAGCAATGTATGTTTCAGTGTTAGAAAAGTCTCCCACCATGTTTTGGTGAGCCAAATAACCATGGCTTTTTGACCATGGGAAATTTGGTGTCAAAGGCTTGGATGATATCTGAAGAATACATCAGCTTTTTGTTTGCTTTATTGGGTGGTATTTTTAATTTACTTCATTTGGAACACTTTTTTAAAACTGATTTATACCCTACATAACATGCATGGTTACATTGCCACACTTTGGTGCTTTCCAATTCACATAGAATCATCAAAATTGGTTGAGTTTTGAGCAAGAAATGAGATGAAAGATAAAGTGCAAATTTTTGAATTTCAGAGTTTTCCTCATATTTTGTAAAGAAATTAAGGTGCTGATTTTAGTAAACACAAAAGGCATATGAGCTTTCAGAGCAATGACAATGGCCATTTTACACACACATATATCCATATTATCTTTGCACTACTGGTGCCAAAATAACTAAGCAGATTTCATGGAGATATGAAGACATATTATTTAAAAACAAAAAGCTCTATGAGCTCTATGAGCTCAGTGAGCTCATAGAGCTCATAGAGCTTTTCAAGTAATGATGCTGGCCATTTAATATGCATTTCCAAAAATGTATATACATATTATCTTTGCACTTCTGCATCCTTAGGAGAACAAAATCATTCAAACATTTAATTTTCTCCACCCAATGTGTAGAGGGTGCACAGCAAAAAGACTCAATTTGCTCACAGAGCTCACAGAGCTCCCTACCAAGTTTGCTGATGCATGTACCCCTCCAGTAAATAGTTCCCCCCAGTTATAATATAAAAGTCTTGAGTCCTCGAATCAAAAACCTCCTCTAGGATGTCTATTGCATCCCACTCATCTGCTGCTCTACCCTGAACTAAGAACTGAGTAACAGGCATGTCTAAAGGTGCCTTGGTATAAAACCCAAATGAATCACATGATGAACAATTGGCCCTCGCTAACACCTCCATCGTTAAGTAGTGAGGGGGGGCCTCCGGCCCCCTTCTGCTGGCAGCCTCAGTTCCTCCATCACCAGCTCCCCTGACAAATTGGGGACAACAAGAATGTAACAGGCGCAGCGCTCTGTTCCAAGTTGCTGAAGCCGAGTCCCTTCAACACCCCATCACCCTCGGAGCTCCGCCCCACCTCCAGTCTGTCTCCAACCACCGTCAGACAACCCGGAATACTGAGCTCCACTAGACAGCATCACCTGGATAGCGATCGGACCTATCCAAGGAACGTTCTTTTGACAGTGTCACACGAAGCTGCAGAACACTGAGTACCATTCACTGGAGTGTTCAGGTTTTAATGAAGCATCTGCCCAAGGCAACCACGATGTCGTGTTGGATGCCTTTGTTCAACAACTGGGACTGAGCCATGATGAATTGGAGGGAAGGCAGTTCCTGGTGTCCAGGGACCAAGCAACAGTAGCCCACTTACACACTCTACTCAATCAAACATCACTCTGTTGCTCCTGGTTCATGGGTGCTCCCCATTATAGAGCTGTGGCACCTTAAGTGGGTGTTTTTAAAAGGGATTTTTAAGGCTCACTGGGCATCAAAAGAAGGGAAGGGGGATGTTGGATTTCGTACTGCTGCTGAGGCACTGGGGCAGAACATCAATCCTGAAAAAGTCGAATTTTACCCATGCTACCGGCTGGCTGAACTGGTCTTAACAACCATGACTCTTCATTATGCCAGGTAAGTCCATAATCTCTTTGTTTATCTGTTAGTTTGATGCCCACCCTTGATCACAGATGTTTTTTGCCCAAGAAGGCTGCAACACAGCCTTTTGTCTCCAGTGAAATCAATCGATTGCACCTCATCGAGGAGCTTCAATAATATTGCAAGCCTGGTTACCTGCTCCATCAATGTTCATTTGCTGACTTGGTTGATCTCGCACATAACATATATACAACATATGGCACAACAGAGGCTGTGACTTTTGATTAGCACCACGACTCCACTGTTGGTGGGGCCTTTTTTGGCTCTTGGATGAGTGGGATTCATTCATCTCCAACTTCCGTGTTGTCCCCCACACCCCAACCATCTTTGTCTGAGCCAGACGACGGCATTTCATTTCTTAATACTGGTGACATGGATGATGCCACTCCATCTGACAATCCCGACCCCATTGCAAATGACCTTCCCCACTTAGATGACCAGTTCACCAGTGACACACAACTTTATAATAGTATTGTCCTCTATTGCAATCTGCTCCATCTGTACGAGTTCAACACCAGTGTACATGATGGGGACATTGGTCGTACATTTGAGGTTATTCACGTAAGTTTTGTTCAATCTCTAAATTACATAAAATCTGATGTTGCAGTGGCTCCATTTCTATTTTTTTGGTATCGGGTCAAACAACTATGGCAATGAGTTGCTTCAACAAGCCCGTGATTTCTGGTGGCACCTACCCACAGCGACACAAACAGCAATTCTCCTCAACTACTTAGTTAACCCATCGGGATTTCCCGGCCACTTTCACAAACAGGACTTACTTCAAGAACATTTGAACTTTTGGTTGAAGTGGGTTTTCAATGGACGAAAGAATGCATTTGATTCTTGCTTTCTCAGGGAAGCCATCTCACTTAATATTGTTGAACTGAAAGATTTACTTCAAAGCTTCATGGGGATGGTTGGGCTTGCAAGAGTTCATCCAGGTCGTACCCAGGTGGACATCAGAGCAGATATCAATTGCCTCAGAGTGGTGTATCTCTGGGAGTCACATCATCTGTACATCCCTGGTCGCTCCCAGACCACAAAGTTGTCAGGGCACGGCCTAACCGGCTACCCTGATTCCCTATGCCGGAAGGGAGTTGCCGTAAGACGATCCGGAGTGATCCGAAGAACGCAGGTAATCTCGCTTAGCTCTCGCTTAGCTCTCGCTTAGCTCCCGCTTCCTATCTTCCGTCCACATGTCACCCCTTTCCCACACCTCGCTTACGATTATCCGAATGAATAGCTATCTTTTCATGTCGTCATTCTATCGGTTATCTTCTATCTCGTTGTAGCCACACTCTAGTGGGTAGCGGTACCCATGTATATAACTCCTATCTCCGCTGAGGGTGGCACCTCAGCGTTAACAACGACTAGGATTCTCGGGAACGCCCTCTTCGTCGTGAACTGACACGCAGTCCCTGACAAAAGTGTATAGATGGATTTGCATTGGGGGGAGAGAAGCTTTTGACACATATCTTGGCAACCCAATCTAACTAGCTAGGATACTCAAATCCATTTAAATTCTAGATCTAACTCTCTTGTAAATGTCTCCATTAATTGCCTTAGCGGTGAGCCTAACTTCCAACTTCCCTTTCGCACAGCTCTAACCCAATACTTTGTCCATCAAAATTCTAGGTCCAATCGTCCCCGTAAACATCACTTTCAGGGTGAGTCTGATTTGCCACTTCCCTGCTGTGCACCTCTGACTCAACACTTCAGCGGATGTGAGAGGCCTTTTCCACATGCTGCTGCAACCAGAGTTATTCCCAAAATCTTTTATGTTGTTCAATTCAGGATCATATCTACCTTAGTTTACATCTAATCCTCTTTGTATCCATTAATTTCCCTGCAGCATGCCTCCCACCCAACACTTTGGCTGATGCAGGTTCTACTGCCAGTTCCTGTCAGGGCACAGCCCCTGACCCCACACACCCTCAGGTACCCTTCCCCCATTTTCTCCTATTTTTCCCTTCACTGTTCCACAATCCCGCATGCATGCAGACCCGTGGGAACGTTCTGGGCAAGTTACTTGCCCAGAAACCATCACAGCCACAACCGTGGGAACTTTCTGGGTGAGCAGCTCGCCCAGAATCTTCCCCCAGGGGGGTGCCAATTATGGAAAGTCGGCAACCGAAAACTGTATAGTTCCTGACTCCCATTTGTAGTGGCTTCACAGGAGGTTGAGAAGGTTACCCTTCTTCTCAACTCATTTCCTGTGAAGGCTGGGGCTAGCCCCCTCAGTGAGTTTGAGGATCTCGGACTGGGACTGGACACCCCAGCAACTAGGAGGATCTCCTTGGCCCTGTCACGGAATGAGGGCCGGACCCTGACAGTTCCCTGGTGAGCACCAATCCCTCATCGCCATCATCTTGTGTGACTTGCACCCGAGATTGTTTGCGGACTGCAGTGCTCTCCTTCATTTCAGCTTCTTCTGCTGGGTGTCACGAACATCTTTCCTTAGAGGATAGGTCGATTGCTATCCAGGCGACGCTGTCAGGTGGAGCTCAGTGTTCCAGGTCATCTGATGGTGGGTCAGAGACAGACCAGAGGTGGGGCAGAGCTTCGAGGGTGATGGGGTGTTGAAGGGACTCGGCTTCAGCAACTCAGAATGGAGCACTGCACCCAGTACATTCTCGTTGTCCCCATTTGTGTCAGGGCAATAGCCCCGAACCCCGAGCCACATGTAATTAGATACATATAGTCACGTGGGTAAGCGGGAACCTCCGGGTAACTGCTTACACACCACTGTAAAATACACATACTTGTATCACTTATGGCCTTGTGTGCTGAGCTACCCAAAGACCTCACAATTTGTCAGGGGAGCTGGCGACAGAGGAACCGAGGCCACCAGCAGAAGGGGGCCAGAGGCCCCCCCTCACTACTTAATGGGGTGTCAGGGCACACCCGCCTAACCCAGGCCCACCGGGGCCCACCTGGCCACACCTCACCCGCTGCCCCCGCTGCCCATCCTTTCCTTCCCTCCTTCCCTCCTCTTTCTTTCTCTCTTCTCTCCCTTCTCTCTTTTCTTTATTTCATTCTTCCCATCATTCCCCTCCTGTTTATTCTTTCTATTTACACAGACCACTTTTCTTTGTATCAATGTACTATTGACCTGCCCAACCCAGGCTCCCCAGACGGCTCCCCACTGTGCCCAGCACACACGCCTGCACCAGATGCCCTTGGGATCCCCCGTGGGGACACCCGGATGACTGCGGTTGTCTCCGAGGATGACATGGCATCCATCATGTGACTCAAGCCGCATGTACATAAATGTACCTGAAGTGGGAACCGAAGAAGTAACCTTCTTCTCACCTTTTCCACTTCAGTCTAAGTGGCCAGGGACAGCTGTCCCATATCAGGCCTGCCAGTACACATGCCCGATCTACCCCCTGTGAGGTCCTCAGCGCCGGGCGCTATACCCGGACCCCCTTGACCCCGGACGTGTCCCTGACACAGGGGAGGCGTTAGCAAGGGTGAATCATTTGCCACGTGATTTGTTGGGTGTTATACCAAGGCATCTCTGGGAGTGCCTGTTACTCAGTTCTTAGGAGCAGCAGATGAGTGGGATGCGATAGATGTCCTGGAAGAGGTTTTGGAGGGCTGAAGACTGTTTGTATTATAACTGGGGGGGGACTATTTACTAGAGGGGTATGCGCATACATATAGTGGAAACAATTGGATCCGAAGGTAAACAAAGGTTACCAAGGGGAAAGGGAAGTAAATAGAAAGAAGTCCACAAGACAAATAGGAATAGGCGAAAAGCCCGAATTATGTCTGAGGTTTTGTGGAGTGAGAGAAATAAAAGCCAACTGAATGGCAAGGTCTGAAAGCGTCTATGAACAAGCAGGGAACTACAGAGAAAGACATCTGGAAAGGTCCGGAGCCCCGAAGTTGTAGTCTGGAAGATTGGGGTTGTAGAAAATATCAAATGATAAAACAATAAGATTATCAAGACCGGAGGTAAGATAGGAATGAGGAGGTACCAGAGGTAAGGAGGTACTGGAGGTGAGGAGGTACCGGAGGTGTGGAGACCGGAGGTAGGAAGGAGGATGGAATGACAAGTTGGGATTCATCAACAACAAGCAAGCCCATCTCCTTCGAACAAGGGGTCCAAGGAGGTGGAGGTATGGTGGTAGAGGTCCAGAGGTGATGTGGACATAGGTGGGTGGCAGAGCGGGAGAGAGTCGGAGGAGGTAATCCTAGGGTCATTGGCATCAACTGGAGGCAGCGGAGAGAGATTGGGAGGGCTGGTGGAGGTCATAGGAGTCGTGTAGGGATAGAGCGGAGGGAGGCAGAAGATCCAGGATATGACACTGGGCTTTTGTCTGCTCACACTTCACATTCCACCATGAATTGCATGTGCTCACCACCAGAATGAGAGACAGCTTTTCTTCATCACTGAGGTCAAGCTCCGAGATATTTATCCACTGGTCCAAGATTGCGACTTTCCATTGTTGCTTGGTGGATTACTGACACCAGCAAGCTGAGTGCTTGGCCAGTGACTATGAAATTGGGAGGATCCAAGTGACTAAGTTTGGCTTCCATGTGGCATCTTGCCCACACATCCTCCCTCCAATCCATCAAATTCTAGCTTCCAGAATATATAATTTGAGACTAAATTGACAAGCAAGTTATTGAGAAAAATGCAAAATACTTTTTTGGATGCAAGTCTTTGGGATAGTGCTTGGGCCACTAAATTTCACTGACAGTCATTGAAGTCATCAAAATTCCCCGGTCACTGATATCCCAAAGACTCGTGTCCAAAAAAGTATTTTGCATTTTTGTCATATCCATACAATCCCGACCTCTGCTCCAGGCTCCCAGAACTCCGAACCTGACTTCCGGAGTCCTACTTCCCTTCTGTCAGGGTCGCGTCCGCAGTCGAGGCGGTCCAGGCATAGTGTCCGGTGCTGAGGACCTCACAGGGGGTGGACCGGGCGTGCGTACTGGCAGCCCCGATGTGGGACGGCGATCCCTGGCCACTTAGACTGAAGTGGGAATGTTGAGTTGTTATTAAAAGGGGAACTATGCTACTTACCTGAAGTGGGAATGTTGAGAAGAAGGTTACTTCTTCGGTTCCCACCCCAGGTGTGTTTATATACATGCGGCTTGGGTCACATGAGGTCCGCCACGTCACCCCGCATACAGCCGCAGTCACCCGGGTGTCCCTGTGGGGGATCCCGAGGGTGTATGCTGCACGTGCACGCACTAGGTTGCACCCTAGAGCCGTCCGGGGTTGTCCGGGGCTAGGCACGTCGTGTGTGCGTCGCGGGCGGGTCAATAATACATGGATATAGGGGAAAGGTCGTCCGTGTGAAGTAGAAATAGAAATAGAAATAGAAATGGAAATAGGAGTGGAAGTGGGAGAGGGATAGAGGGGGAAGGGGTATGAAGGAGGGGTGCAGGGTGGAAGAGGGGGAACCAGGTGAGGTGGGCCCGGGTGGAGGCAGGTCAGGCGGGTGTGCCCTGACACCTTCCACCACCTTCTCCTTGCCAACTCCCAAGAGGTTATCCCACCTCCGGCTCTGACACACCCTTCGGTCCGACTCTGGAACATTCCGGGTCCAACCCCAACCTCAACACCTTCCAGACGAGTACGCAACACCTATGCTCCCAACTCCGGGCCTCCGCTCCGGAATCCCGTTCGCGTCCCCATCTCCGGAACCTCCGGTCTTAGCTCCAACCTCGGACTTTGACCCCACCTCCACTTATACCCATTGTATTGGTTAGCTCATTCCATTTAATTACGTTTGCCAATATTCCGGAGTTTAACTTCCGAGTTCGGACTTTCCGGACTTACGTCGGACCTTGCAACTATTGCATTGCTCCATTCAGTTCCGCTATTCTCCCTCATTCCTATTTGGGCTACTGCTTCCTTTCTATTCAGTCAGCTAGCCATTCCCCACTCCCAACCTCCTTCCTTCCTCCTTGGGCCTTGGCCCTTCACTCCTCCTTTGGGAAACACCATTGAGTCAAACCCTTGACCCTCGGTGTTGTTCCTCCCTCCAGCTCCCTTTGTCTCCTTTTGGAGTACCCTCGTTCCTTTTGATTCCGGACCCCTCCTTATATACAATGTACATAGTAACTTGTAACCTCAGTCCGAAATCGACCTGAACTCCCCCCAAGAGACTTTCCCTGTGCTAGATCTGAAATTAGGGACCCCCAGGACAACCGGCAATGGCACAGCACTCTGCCTGAGTTGCTGAGGCCAAGGTCCTTCCATGCTAAGTCTCCGATTCCACTCCGGAGTCATCCAAATCCACCCATTCTAACAATTTTTCTCAATAACTTGCTTGTCAATTTAGTCTCAAATTATATATTCTGGAAGCTATTTGAAGGGGCTATCCAACTATGCAAAGTGTGTTGACACTGTGGGAAACAGTCTGGATACCCCTCCGGACAATGACCAGCACTGTGCACAGACATGAGGTGGACAGCCCCACTAACCCAAAAGACTCGCATCCAAAAAAGTATTTTGTGTTTTTCTCGATGATTTATTGGTCAATTCAGTCTCAATACTCATGTACTGATGTAATGCAGTGGGATGTGTCGCTCTGTCACGTGCTAACGAGACCGCGGGAGTAATAAATTTGATATAACAACAACAACATCCTCTCTGGCAAACTACATCTTCATTTCATCGATTTTAAATGCCTTGGACACATTCTGTTGCTGAAATGCGTGCATGCTGTGCAGGTTTGGCAAAGCAAGGCAAGCACTCTAGTGAAGGCTTCCAACTTGTGCTGCCAACCCCCATATCAATAATAGGGCTCCTAGCGGATCGGATAACACTCGGATATCCGCAGATTTATCCGAAAATCTGCGGATGCGGATTTGGCTTTTGACAGGATAATATCCGCGGTTTCTAATCCGCGGATCTATTGTCGCTACTGTTCTAGATACCCCTCCTATGTTTCTATATTTTCTTCCAATTTTTCAAGTCTTATTTGACCACCCAGGCCTGTTATTCCCAAATTAGGCATTTGACCTCCAGTTTTCCACCATTCTCCCCATATTTCCATCAGTTCTCCACCAATATGGACAAATTTGGGATTGTTAGAAAGCTCTCGTCAAGGACAATTCTGACGAAATGCAACTTTGGAACATTTTATCTACAATCCGCGGTTGATCCGCATATCCGCGGATTTCTAACCGCCGGAAACGGATTTTATTTCAAACCTCTAAAAATCCGCGGATTCTGATCCGGATCCGATCCGATCCGATCCGCTAGGAGCCATAATCAATAATATCGCTTGCAGCCATAAGATGTGGTGGTCAGCAAGGATCAATGTATGAAAAATGGTAACCGGAAGAAGGTATCAGTGATGTTCGCATCAACACCGCATCAGACAAACCAATAAACATGAAGATTTCGTTAATCACAATGATTGTAGCATGCACAAATGTATCGTCAATACACCATATATCAACACAATGTCTATGAATATCACCATGTACTAATTGAGCTGCGGCTTGCGAATCTGGCTGCAGTATATAGGGGTTGCACAAAGGATATAAAGAATGGAGACCCTCCGACGGATTGAAAACCTAAACAATTACAAGATGTTTCTGAACTTCGCAACAACTAGCTTCATCGCGACCCTTCTTGCCTCTGTCACGGCCCATCCCACTGCCAATCTCATCCGAGAGCTAAGGGACACCCGTGGATTGGGTGACAGCAATCAGGGATTCGCTGGTGCGCTCCTCAGTAGAGTAAGCTATCGCGCCTCAGGCTTAATACTCATATGCGTATAACCCGGGATATCACCATTCAACTGTGCGCTTCCTCGTACTTGCAGACCAATTATGTTTCTGTTACCGCGAGCTTTGTTATTCCGGAATTTGGCCCGACCAATTTGACCGCAGATAGCGTCCAGTACTTGAATGCAGTAGTTATCCTTCTGTGTACTCATGCTCGTGTATCCGCATTTGTCGGTTTCTCAATTAATCCCAATGGGACTGAAGTCTTTGGTACGTACCCAATGAGGCTGACTTTCGTACTGTGTGTTGATTACTTCTTCGTTACTGTACCCCGACCAGCACTGGGACCCATTCCCCCGGCAGTATCCTTCATTGCCGGGGATATGGCTCAGATAACTGTAGAAGCGTTGCAGGTCGGATACAACACAACTGTTGAGAATTTAACCTCTGGCCACGCGACGAGCGGACACATCCCTTCAGCTAAAGAACCTCTCTGTTTTGCGGCATCATGGGGTATCGAGGGACCCCGCTCTCAGTCTTTTGTGGGCAGTATCAATTTCTACAACACGTTCGCTGTTGACAAAGTGGGGGTGAAAAGTGGTCTGTTGGAAGCGTCCATTCAACCCATCATTGCACCTAACGGGACACCCCTTACTTCCATTAACATCATCTCCCCCACTAACATCACCTCTTTCACTGACATCCCCTCTTCCACTAACATGACCATCTCATATCTCTGAGGCTAATTATTCTGTTTGACTGATGGACTGCTTGTCTGACACTGATGTTCCACAAACGGAGCTTGTTAAAACTTCGTTCCCCTCAGTTCCCATTCACAAGTCTGAGGATTAGTATCCTTCTTGTTTGTTATGTTACTTGACAAGTCGTTACACTCATCATGTTTCCATTCCAAATTAAGTGCGCATCTGTACAAGTGAACGAGTTACAATCCCAGTTTTTCACCAGTCTGACTGTCTGAGGACGCATCCATATGGCAATTTACAACTCGCTATAGTCTCTTATGTGTGTATCACGGAATTCGAGCTGAACGGACATGGGACATCCCGAGTTGCACTACAGAACTGCCACAGATCCCAATACGAATAAAAGAGATGTACCCCATGTGTGGATGCTGCAGGGGTGCGCGATTCCGTGGTGTACCATTCACCAATGACAACTGATCTGTGAGGTCTCAGTGGGGTAGCTCAGCACACAGAGCCGTAAGTGATACAAAGATGTGTATTTTATGGTGTGTGTAAGCAGTTAACGGAAGTTACCGCTTACCCATGTGACTATATGTATCTTGTAATTACATATGGCTCGGGGTTTGGGGCTATTGCCCTGACATTCTCCCCCCTTGCGTTGCATTTGCAATGCATACAAGGTTAATGATGAATTGAATAAAATTTAAAAAATGAGTTACATTGAGTTTGAGATTATCAATGAGTGTTTTATTGTCGCCACTTTAAAGTGGACGATTTATACACGTTTGTCAGAGACCAGGTTGAGATGAGGGAATGTCTCCATGGTGGAGGGCTTCGGCCTCAGCTGTCAGAGACCAGGTTGAGATGAGGGAGTGTCTCCGTGGTGGAGGGCTTCGGCCTCAGCGACTTATGCCAGGAGCGCTGTGCCAAGTAACACGTCTGTGCCCTAACTTACTAAACTGGCAACCAGAACTGAAGGGGGGTAAACTCTAGTCAATTTTATTACTGAGGTGTAACCTATGTACAAGTTGAGTATATATATGGTTACAACGAGGGCGGTCCACAAATGGCAGAGTCGAGCGGAGTGGAGCTAATGGGGTTAGACATTAGCTGATTGAATGTTACCGACAAGTTGGGTTATGGGGTTAACGGAATGGTAGGGGATAACCCAGAAATGGAAAGGAGGGATAGGCCCAAAGGTGGGCTTGCAGGGCAAGCAAATGTATTGCCCAGTGGAGGCGGGAGTGTGCTAGCGGATGTCGGAGCTGTCCGGAAGCTTTCGGGCTCTGTACTTAGGGAGGCGTAGGTAATAAATTGAAAGGAGGGGGTGGTGACCATCGAGGGGTACCGAGGTGATTGCGGAATACGGGAGCTCCGAGGTTAGTGGAGAAGGAGTGGAGGTAGACCAGAGGGATCGGAGGGAGTGGAAGTCGATGGCCAGGGATGGATATGACAATGTTGGTGAGAGGAATTGAGGGAATAAATGGGTGTGGGGCCATCACTTTGAAGTGAACGGCAATACATGGGTATCACAGAGGGGAAAGTGATGAAGAGAAGGAGTTTTTCGAAAATAAATTTCGACCCAAAGATTATCTGGCTTTGGTGTTCCTCCTCACTTGTTCCATGAGGATTCGTGTGTAAATGGTGTTTACACATGAGCGGTGGTGGATGTGGGTTTTGACAAAGTAGAGATTTCCACAATTGTTACTTGCAGTTCCTTGCATACAATATTGTGTGCAGGGCCTCAAGTTGGGGGAAGGTATTTTCACAGGTGCCTCAATGGCATATTACTGTGTCACTTTCCCTTTCCTCAAGCGTAGAGTTATTGCCCCGGAGGAGGGTTTTCCTCCAGGTTGTTCATCTGGACATCCGATTGCTGCATCAGATGTGATGACATAGCTTGGGCTACATTGTCAAGCTGTGGCTTGACGAAGTGGGCGCTGTAGGCGGGATAATCGCCCACGCGCAGAGCCAGCTTGGATACCTGCTTCCAACATTCAGAAATCTACTTTCATTCATGCGACGACTCGGTATGGAATTGGTATCTAAAAATGGTGCTAATTCGTACGATTCTGACGGTACCAAGAACATCCCAAATGGTGGAGAATTGATGGAGTTCTGTGTTGGAGAAGTTAGGCACAGCAGGTCACGAGTATGTGCGGGCATGGGAATCTCAAGCGGCAACCCAGAATTCCAGCCTCACTCGTTCCCACGGCGTCTAATAAATTGGTAAAAATGCTTATCGGCTGTGTGAGATTTATCTCCGGCTACATTTCCAATTTCGGCTCTTAATTCCATAAATCCGCTGAGAAATCGCTTATTTCCTTATATTTTCATATTTTGCCATCATTTCAGATATTGATTGATATTCTTTTATTGTTACTGTTACCCTTTTTTTATTATTTCGCCTAATAAGGTATGCAGGTGCCATATGGTACCAATATTTCCATCAATTATTCTAAAAATAATTGTTCCTTGTATCCTGTACATACCGGATTTTGGAAAAGAAGTTCTCCCCTCCCCCAATTTTCTCTAAGGTGCTAGGACGCGCTAGAGAGGGTGTGAGTGTGTGGAATTCCAACAGTAGGAATAAGGGCAGTGATCTAGCTCACAACGAGTGAGTAGTGGACACTGAGCCCGGACCTTGCGGAATCCCAGAGAACCCACACCGGAGTTAAGGATCGAGAACGTAGCGAGTTTAGTGGAGAAAGTAGAGTTTAGGGAGAGTTGTCCCCCACGAGCTGTGTCGGCATAGAGAGCCGCGAGCCCTCTTTCAGCGCTCCCTGGGTGTCAGGGCAATAGCCCTGAACCCCAAGCCATATGTAATTACAAGATACATATAGTCACATGGGTAAGCAGGAACCTCCAGTTAACTGCTTACACACACCCTAAAATACACATCTTTGTATCACTTATGGCTCTGTGTGCTGAGCTACCCACTGAGACCTCACACTTTTTTAAGTGTATGAGGTGTGTTTTACAACACAACCCACCAAACCTATCACATCTTAACAATTTGACTCAGTAGTGCCAATGGCGCCTAAACACATGCCTGCAAGGGCAAGGTCACATCTGCAGTGACAATTTAAAAAAAAGGAGCGGTTTATCAAAAAACCGCAATCTCCCATCATGGGAGATTCAAATCAACAGCCATCATCAGACGATGATGAGGATCAACACAATCTGGAAAAAGCGACCACCTCAGGGCTGGTCCCTGAAGGTTCTAGAAACTTATGTGGAGTAAGTGTGGGGCCCAATACCCCTAGAACCCCATGTCACATTGATCTAACCCAAGCTGGGGAAGATCCCTCACCTCCTCAGGAGGTGATCGACTTGTGCAATAAACGCATAAGCGCTGAACTGTCATATCCATCCCTGGCCATCGACTTCCGATCCCTCCAATCCCTCCAGTCTACCTCTGCTCCTTCTTCACTAACCTCGGAGCTCCCGTATTCCGCAATCCCTTCGGTACCCCTCGATGGTCACCACCCCCTCCTTTCAATTTATTACCTACGCCTCCCTAAGTATGGAGCCCCAAAGGCTTCCAGACAGCTCCAACATCTGCTAGCGCACTCCCGCCTCCGCTGGGCAATACACTCGCTTGCCCTGTTACAGGAATGGGTTCCGGGGAACCCAACCTGAGCCGTTCTGCTCACAGACAGAGGTGGCTGCATAGCCGTTGAAGGGAGAGCAGGAGATCTGAGACCGGGTGTACTAACGGTAACTTGGCGCTCCGAGGAGCGTACCGGCAGCGGGTATAATGGGGGCTCCTCGAGGGAGCCACCTAACAGTTGGCTAGCGGTGACTTGGCGCTCATGTGAGCATACCGGTAGTGTGGGTAGTTGGCACTCCTTGAGGGAGTAGCCCAGTGGTTGTCTATCGGTTACTTGGCGCTCAAGGGAGCGTACCGGTAGCGGGATTTGTTGGGACAGACAGGTTGGTTGACCAGTGCACGGTAGTGAGTGACCGTGGGAATTTGGGCCTGCGGGTATGTGGCCAGGCATCCTGGGGCTGCCTGGGTCACTTCTCCCTCCCAAGAAGGGAGGAAGGGTTGTAGGACCCAGTAGGGTACTACAGGAAGGATAGGAATAGGAGCTCAACCACCCAGTGGGGGGGTGGGAGTGGGAAGAGTGAGGTCCGGTGTCTGAGCACTCACCGGGCTGATGAGGTTTTCTCACAGATTGTAAGAATATTGATGTAGACATCGATATGGACCAATTCAGATGTTACAGAGAAGGCTTACAGTGGTGGCGCAATGGTGTGGCAGTTACAATCGCGGTACAAGGTTTTGTGGGTTATGTATTCGATGAAGAAAACCTCTTTCGGCATTTGCCTTTACATGTCATATGACTAGTTTATATCTAATATAAAAGTTGTAATGGTCAAGGGAAGTCCCTTGAAATTCAACAATTCCCCCAGCCAGCACCAAAACCCAGTGGGAAAGCTTGGCATGGGGTTTGGGTAGAGAAATAGGGGAAAACAATAAGGAGGCATACCTGGTTCTACTTGCTTGTAACCATGGACCATAAGATTCTGGTCCATTCCTATAACATGCCCTGCAAAGCCCACCTTCGGGCCTATCCCTCCTTTCTGTTTCTGGGTTATCGCCTGCCTTTCCATTAACCCTGTAACCCGACTCGTTGGTAATATTCAATCGGCTAATGTCTAACCCCGTTAGCTCGGCTCCGCCATTTGTGGACCCGCCCTCATTGTAACTATATATATACTCAACTTGTACATAGGTTACACCTCAGTAATAAAATTGACTAGAGTTTACCCCCCTTCAGTTCTGGTTGCAAGTTTAGTAAGTTAGGGCACAGACATGTTACTTGGCACAGCCCTCCTGGCATAAGTCGCTGAGGCCGAAGCCCTCTGCCACAGAGATACTCCCTCGTCTCAACCTGGTCTCTGACATGAACCATCAGCCCAAAAAGCTGATTGGATAGAGTCGCAGGAATCTCCAGGGCCCCACTATCCCCTGGAGTCCTCCACCATGTCCCCAAGTCAAGCCCCAAAGGCAGACAAAGGGAAACAGAGGGAAGAACCTCCACGTAAGCTATCTGACAAACTACTGGACTTGTTCCAGGTTCCATCTGAATGGAGGACAGAAAATGAAGACCAACTTCTTCTCAGGCTTCAGCCTGAGAAGGTGCAAAAAAACACCCTGAGAGCAGGATCTCCCAGAGCGCGGAAGCTCCAAAAGAACTTCCACTGTTCACACTACCCCACACCATGC